TATATTCTGGATAGGTGCTTATCAATTGTCCAAGTGTTCGATCTCGACTGAGAATCATCTGTGATGTTCCTCGATTACCTTGACGAGATGTTCGACCGAAGGCTTGCTCTTCGACACGTAAATTATTACCTTGTTTGCCACCCTTGACAAACTGAAGAGCTTCGCAAAATAGGTTAGTAGATAGTTTCACAAAACAAAACAAAAAAAAAACAATCAATCACCAGCGGGGAGTGTAGGGGAAAAAAGAAGTCAAAAACAACGCGGGTCTTAGTATATAGCTTCAACTCCTCTAGCTTCGGAAACTGGAGAGCTTCACAAAATAGGATAAGTGTGTGTTTCACAGCGCCACCCAACGAATTAGTTAACCACACTTGTTTGCTCCTTCCGTTAATCTTCACCAGTTTCTTTACTCCAGTCATACACAGGAACGCAATCCGGAGAAGTGGGACATGAATGACAACTATTCACAATGAACATTTGTCCTAGACGTTCAGGATAATAGTTGGTATCAAGCGAGATCAATTGTTTTACCAAATGAAGTGTCTTTCTTGCATCCGGTTTACATCCGTTTAAATCCAAAATCACCGCAAAACTTCCCACATGTTTTCCCACTTGTCGACTACGCTGTCTTGCCAGTTGACAATTAAATTCTCTGGAATAAATAAAACACTGGATCAGTTCTTCTGTCGTGAATTGATTCAACAGATAATCGACGTACATCTGACCCGATTTCTCTATATACAATGGTCGATGAGTTTTTGTATAGCCGTGGTTAGCAGCCGGAACGACTTTTCGAACGAGGTCGACTCGAAGTGATGTCGGTAGATCATCAAGAATCGAATCAACATGATTATCTATTCTCCACTGTATCATATCCTGGATAGATTTGATCGTGTGTGCGATATTCCATTTTCTAGCACAAAGGTGTCTATGCAATTCATAGCACCACTCATTTTCTTCTTCTTCACTATCATTCTGAGTTTTCAGCTGCAATTTAAATTTAAATTGTAGATAGGATTCATAATCCAATTTTAATTCATCGTAAACAGTATGAAATTTTGTTTGTTGTTCACTTGTTAATTGATTAAGATCAAACGATGGACTACTAGTGGTTATCATTCTACAATGACTTAATATGTATTAAAATGCACTGAGGTCATCATAGCAAATGCGTGTTTATAGGAATGTATTATAAATATAGTCAGTATATAAAATGCATGTGATCAAGCAAAAAACAACTAAAAATAAGTAACAGAAGAAAGAAAAGATACCGAGAAGTCATGCATGAACGATAAGAGAACAAAATAAAATGTAAAAACATTTTGCTGAAGCAATATTTTCTTCGGCATTATGTTTCTGGCGATACAATAAATAAATATAAGAGTCACATATTCATGAGATGATTCAACACACTTCAAAACAAGCGCTTGTCTTTCTGTTTCGGTGGAAGAAACTACTGCATTAGAGAGAAGAAAAGAACTTTTTAGCTGTATCAGAATGTTAATATTACTCCCCGGTTCAAAAGCGCGTGTTTGATCTTTGTTTTGAATAATTCGAGAATGAAAAGAGACAGGAACTTGCTGGTTTCACCATTCGATAACCAATACTCAACTGCATTTTTTTGTAGTAGGAAACTTTCCAAGATGGTTTTTCGGAAGTCGATTTTCTCCGAAATCTCTGGAAAGCCAAGCCGTAAGTCTAGATGTTCAAATAGAGACCAATCGATTTATTCACATCAGCAGATAGCTTGAAGTGTCCTCTAAATAATGAAACTCAAGCAAGTTATCCTGAACCGTATTTAGAACGAACGCGTATATCAAGAACAGATTAATCACGAAAACAACTAGAATGAAACAAATGAGTAAAACATATAAACTCAGTGTGATTCGTCCAGCCTACTAAAGAGCACTGAAGTTTAGTTTCTGCTATTGATGTGAGCGACATGATGTAGAAGGACCGATACGTGATGCTATCATTTTCAGGATCCATGTTGATAGAGTTCAGATGAGTTCAGTTTTGATTCTCTTCCTTTATTATTAAAGAAGATCCATGTTGATGCTTCCCTTTATAGATTTAAGAAAAATAAATAAAATCTTGGTTCTTCATTCATCCTTAAACGACGATGATATCTAATTATATCGAAACTCATGCGCAGAGTATCTTGTAATTTTAGCAACCGACATAAACTTCGTAAAATATATTTCATCGCCCGAACAAGTGAGAGACGAAGAGACATAATACGTATCTTTTTGCTAAAAAACCACGAGCGATATTTTTTTCATATCACAGCAGTAGATCGTTAATCGAAATTGAACAACTGAAATTCTTTCTCAATGTAACAAAAACATAAGTGCTTTTATGACTATTATAGTTCATGAAAGGATCCTGTACAGTGAGTAGATGGGAAAAGGTGCTGAATTACCAGTCCATTCTCTTAACTTTATGAAGCTTCGAAAAAATTCTCTAGACATCGAAGTTTAGAATTTCAGATAGAATTCAGAATTGTTTTGAAACTTAGGTCAGCAATCAGCCTCGCTCAAACAAAGTTGACAGAAAGGATGAGGATTTTCTAAATTGGCTCTTTGGAAAAATGTGGAAGTGACGTCTCACAGTGGGCATCCAGGCGGAAGTTAGGCAAAAAATCGAAGTTTCTCGTTTTCAAACAATAAATAGTGCAAAATGTAGCCCTTCAAATTCTCTATCGAATGGTGTATAAATGTCTATTTTGATATCGACTCCTTTGAGGAAAAATTAGGGCACAAAAACTGCATTACATATATGGTAAAACAGGACACATCATAGAAAACCGGGATTCTTCGCTCTCTCAGCAATGCTAAGCTATTCGAAAGGACATATTCAAAATCAGTAGCTCCTCAGCTATCTACTAATAATAGAATGTTTGTACTTTGACATCGAATTCAATAAGTAGCAGATCATGGATTTCTCATAACGATAGTGGTAATGACACTACCCTAGTACAGTCGCATCGCCATCCTTAGCTACCCTCAAAAACAATATACAAATACATCAAAATGTTCCTCAGACACTACGCTATTTATGCTATTCTCGCAAAATCTCGCAACTCTTTCCCGACGGTTTTATGAATTTTCCAAAGCCCCTAGTGGTTTTCGGGTATTTGAGAAGTTTATTCGTCAAGAAAGCACTTTTTCGTACAAACAAGCCCAGATTTGGAATCAGCGTGAAAAACTGCATTGAATGGTATATAACTCATCTAGTTTCGGTCGCTCGATTTTGAATTCTAGAAATTTCTTACTTTTTGAGATTCACATAAACAATTTCGTGCTGAAAATTTGAATTTCAAGATAAAGTAACCTGAACAACCCGAAACATGTTTCTTATAGGTTTTCGACAATGCTCTTTCCAGTGGCATCGTTTTTAAGTATTGAGAAAGTTTTCTGAAGGTTTTCCAGAGATCGGATCTCTGGAAAACTACTTAGAAAACTTTTTCAAAACCCAACTCTCATGCCATTAGAAAGAGGATCATGAAAAACCTATAAAAGAATGGCTCATGAAATTTTAGTTCACTCATAAAGCTAAAGTCCGCCTGCTCTAGCAAAAAATGCTCACTGTGCGTCTGGAACATGTTGATACATACGTCTGCCATAGTAAAATATTGGGTTTTGACGCCTCCGTTACAGTATTGTTATGGAATTTGAAATATTTCTAATGCTTTCATATTGATTATTTCGTTAGGTATTGTTGTTATGTGCGAAAATACAAAGTGAAATTCACGTAAGTTATTCAATAAGAGGATACCAGTTGATATTTCTTGCAGAAGATTATTGTCTAAACAGAGTGAATCCTTTTAATATTTTTAAATTTCCTTTTAACGACCATCCAGTTGACTATTTCATACAATTGAGCGAGACAAAATTGAAAGCTTAAAAATAAAACTATTTTAATTTTATTCTTATCATGTTTCAAAATAAAAAATTTAGCTTGAGAAAAAATCCGGAAAAACCATCAGAATATGCGTGTCAATCACCCAATAGTTGTTTTTGTTAATTCTCAGGAGTAATTGTAACTTTGTTCTCTATTTTAGATGAAAGTAACCATACATCGACTCTTGCATGAATTTAATGCTATATACCTTATCAATTTCGCAGCATACAGACATATTGTGTGCCTAAATAAATATTATCAGATGGTTCACTCTCACGTCTAGTGATCCTTCCCGACGTTCCCATCGATAAGATGTTACAAAAGCGGTCCTCCTTTTTATAAACAAGAGTTTTTAAAATACACACTATGTATCAGAATCTGGTATTTTTGACACATGATTCATTATTTTAATATAAAATCTGTAGCTTATTTTACGAAAAGTTCCGTTACGTTCGAAGGAAGGCTCAGAAGACTTTCTAGATATCTTGTCGATCAACGGGTCTTCAAATTTTTTCTCAGTTAAGGGACCTCCTCCCCACTAGGGATGTACGGTAACCGGTAAATCCGTTTACACGGTAAAAATATTTTACCGCTACCGCGGTAAATTTAGTAGGGTAAATTTGTTTTTACCGTTACCGACTTTTTGTCTCGGTAAAAAAACTATTACCGTTCATTTTTCCGGTAAATTTTTTTACCGATGTCTCGTTTCAATAAATGTTGTTTGCTTCAGATAGGACCGTATATTATATAATCGGCCTAAAGGTAGGGAGTTAGCGGAAATACAGATTTTGATTTTCTTAAGTAAGGAGAAGGTCAAATATATCTAAAAACTACCTGTATCATATTTGAATGACTCTAATGTTTGTGTTTCTAAATGTTCTTCAGACAAATGAATAAAAGTAATCTGAGTCATGAACAACAGTTCAAATTTCGACGCTACATATTCTTTTTCTATTCTAAAATATCGTCTATTAGAATTAATTAAAGTTTGTCTTTCAGGAACATACTATAGCTAAACCCATTAGCTTTGAGATTAACACGACTCTGTATTAATCGTCCAGATATACTAAACGCTCACCCTCACCTAAACGCAGAATGCATAAATTTATATCACCGCATGGTCAGAATTAGAAGGGAATAAAGAAATAAAAGCAAAATAAAAGACATAAGTTCGAAGTTCGGTAAAAAAAACTTTACCGGAGAAAAATTCGGTAAAAAGTATTTACCGGATCTTCGGTAAAAATTTTTTTACCGTTACCACGGTAATCTCGTTTTTCGGTAAATTTATCTTATCGTTACCGCGGTAATCTAATTTTTCGGTAAATTCATCGTACCGTTACCGACGGTAAATTACCGGTTACCGCACATTCTTACTCCCCACTTAGAAAAGTAGATTTTCTTCCAAAAAATAGATTTTGAGATTTATATATGGTTGAATAGTCCAACGTGTCTTATTTCCAACGCACTCATTTTTATACCTTAAAAAATAACTTTTGATAGTTTTCTGAAAGCCTCCGATCCTAAAAAAGTAGTTTTTTCTTGAAATATAACTGTATATACAAAAACACATGTAGCGCATATCTCTGCATACGCTCCTTGGATTCAGTATGCGCAAACACCTATGATGAACTATTATTACATTTCTTTCCTTCTGCTACGTAGCGTTTTATACGTAACATGTATCCTTCTTTGTGTCAGTACCAACAATGAATTGTGTTTTCATATTTCATTAACAATAGCTTGTTCAGATATAATATGAACTAATACCAGTGAGTAGTAGTTTATTTACAAAGAAAAGAAACTCTCTCTCCGATTTTAACAAAGAAAACCGATCTATTTATATACGGAATATTGCGCAATCATCTTGAGTATTGTGGTACAATAATCATGACTATATCGTGGTGTAATAACTATGGCCATATAGTTGTGCAGTAGCCATGACCGTATCGTTGCGTAATTACCTTGACCATGTTTGCACAATTACCAATAGGTCATTTCGAAGGATGGAATAGAAAATCATGTGAGAGCAAAAATGACGTAATAAAGTGTCCATGCAATAAGGAAGCAGTGGCGAAAGATATTTACATCAGAGAACGAGAACATTACGTCAGAGAATGAGATTTTCTACGCTTCCTAACACTTCTCCGTTTTTTATTTCGTAAACCTGCGTCACATTTTTCTCAAAATCTCTTTTTACGACTACAGCTTCTTTGACTTCCAAGATATCTTCGTCATTTTTTGAGCTAAAAGTTTTAGGTTGGCTTCAAAACATAGAGGAATGTTTTTTCTATGTCGTGACATTTATTGGATTTTTCAATTTAAGTTTAGTTTAGGAGAAATTTAAAAGTTTCCGAAAAGTAATAAAATCTTGGAAATACCAAACCGTACTTTTGCGCCACTAATTTGAGAATAACTCTAGGAAAACAAGTGACAAAAGGCTGTAAGTATTAGAATGACTAAGTTATCTTAAGATACACATTGTCTGAAATTTTCATGAAGGTTGAAAGTTCCTGAACTAAAATAGGTTTCCCACTAAAGGGGGAATGTTCCTGAACTAAACTAGGTTTCCCAGTGAGGGGGAAGTCCTTACGAAGAGACGCGGTCAGATTTACTTTCTCAAATGGCGATTTCGACCACCAGGTACCTCTCGCCGTTTCCGAGTTATTCCCAAAGTTTGTCTGACTTCCGTATTTTGAAAGTATAATGTACACAGCTAATCAGAATATCTCCGCCTCATAATATTCTGTCGGAAAAATCATATCATTCATGCATTATAAGGATTTTTTCCAGTATAGTCGTAGTTCTGAATCCATCTTTGACAAACTATTACCGGATCACTCAACAATATAGGTAAGACTGGATAATAAATAACTGATCGTGGATGTGACAGACGGTGAGCAAACTTTATATCGAAATAGGATCTTGTTTTCACAATTAGTCCTGGAAATTAACAAAAACAACTATTGGGTGACTAACACTCATTTTCTAATGGTTTTCCGGATTTTTTCTCAAGCTAAATATTTATTGTAAAACGTGATAAGAATAAAACTAAAATAGTTTTATTTTTTAAGCGTTCGATTTTGCCTCGCTCAATGGCATGAAATAGTCAACTGGATAGTTGTTCATTATGCTATTTAGTAAATATGCTGAAACATTTAGTATTTTGGATTTTTTTCATATGCCCAGAAATGAGGGAGTTTTGAACCGTCTTCTAAACAATAGGGTATGTGACGATATCCACCTGAAAAAGAAAAATGAGTATAATGAAATGGCTATGATTACCACGAGAAACAAAGCGATTACCTGAAAAAGTGGTTTTGACAGTTGTGCTTGTTGTTATCTTTCCTGCTAACGAGAAACCAACATCAGTATTTAGTTTTGGGGCTTTGGTTTTTGCTTGAATTGACAGCTGCTTGGTGTTAATAACTTCCTCAGAAATAATCCTACCACTCAGATCATCAAATAAATCAATAACTTGATCCAACTGAGCTTTTGCAGAAGATGATTGTGCTTCCTCATTAGTCTTGCATGTAGTTCCCAAATCTTCTTGTCCGATTCTTCCAACTTCTAAAATCGTTGTTCGAACATATCCATCTTCATAAACTAGATTTCTTACTTTTACCATTGTAAATAGCCGAAGAGATGTTGTTCGCTGAGGAAATAAATCCCTAATAGTGGCATTTATGGTAAATCCACTTCCACCTCCGCCACCAACTAAGAACATACTAATAGTGTTTATACTCTCTTTTGTAGTAGTAAATGATGCTTCAATCTTTCCCTCTTTTGGAACATGTAAATCCATGCATGTAATTTTTTGCCAAGTTTCAAAATCGTCTGTCATTTGTCCATGTCTTATTTTTGGCCAAACATCCTCTGGATGTAAAATGTTATTTTTTATTTCTTTAAAGAAATTCACTAACTGAAGTTGTTGCTCTGCCAGTAATTTTTGAAACTTCTGTATATCAAATGAGCGTAAGTTTTCTAAATCATTGCTTGATGAAACTATTTCTTCTAATTTAGGTACGGATTCCTCTTTATCCGGAAACGCGTGATTAATATTCATTCTTTAAACACTGAGTTTTTTCAATTGCGATCTGTAAGATACAAAATTAAAATGTTCAGGAAGGAAGAGAACATCTCAATAAATCGAGCCTAATTCAGAGATGTGATATGACTGTTTCGGAAGTGCGCAATATGAATGTGGTGCATGATTACTAGTTGATAGAGTCGTAAAACCTTAACCAACTATATCCCATTCCAAAACAGTCATGTCATATCCCTCTTGAAATTAGAAGAAAATTCACTGAAATCGGTTTTGTCAGAGTGAGGCCTCTATGGGACTTATTAGAATGCCGCTACGTTACATTACATGCATGTTGTTTTAAACTTAATTTGTTGAAGGGAGAGAGGCATATATACTATCGAGTGCAAGGCTTTTTATAAGCATATTTGTTGCAGAGGCAAAAAGAAGATAGAATAGTAAAAACAGCTACACAGGCAGATAAATGAACACAGGGATTTGGGTTGGTGCTGGAGGACAAAACAAAAGTTAATGTTTGTGAAGCTTAGGAAAGGAAGGATACAGTATGAAATAATAAATGGACTCTATTCCTCGTCCTAAGACAAAGGTATTGATTGGTTTGAATTTTCCGAGGTTGTCTTTAGCATACCTAATCAATGATTATACACATGACAGCCCAATCTGTAATCGATCTCTGATTGTCTCAGCTTTTTGTTTTAGGAATCCAGAATCAAGCTTCTCAAAATAAAGGTTTTTGATTAATATAACAAAGTTTTTTTCACTCTTCTGAGCTGCAACGTATAAAATAAAAAAATCCTCGTGATGTTTTAACGTCACGTAACTCGGCCGATAACATGATTCCAATACTTTTTTCGTTATTTTCTTGTCTTTATACCTTCCGAGCAGAAGAATGCCATGAACTGACGAATGTCTCAGTTTGTGACATAAAGTGTGCTGAACAAAATGAGACACGTCCGAATTCTCTAAGAGACTTTTTATAGAGATGTTGCGAAAATCATCAAAACCACTCTAAAAGAATGTTTTTTTCTATCAAGAATGCACAGAGAAAAAAAACGTGAAATTCATGATGGTTTTTATACGCGGTTTCTTGCAGTCAGTTTGGCATGTTTTTTTTTACGGTTTTAGTTGTTCGTGGTTTCGTTTCATATAGTTCCTATATGACAGTTTTTCTTTGACGGTTTTAAAACTGTTAAAAAAAACGATCAGGTAAATCTGTGCAAGTAAAAGCGTCTATTTTGAAAGGGAAGAAAAAAGGACAGCTCCAGGAATCGAATCTGGGACGTTTGGCGAGTATGAATTATGAGACCAAGACACAAACCACTGAACTGAGGAGCTTACAGAAGTATGTTTTCGCACTGCATGCTCGTCATGTTCCCAGGCATACTTCTGCACTACCTTACGAAAAGCTGTCGCTATTGAATTTGTAAAGCTACTCGCTATCGTACATGTATTTGAAATACAAAAGTGAAACGCGAACTGTATAACTGTGCACATATATCATATGATACCATCGAGTGTATTCTATGCGAACGTGTAGAAACTTATGGTTAGGAGAAGATATTCGTTATATGGCTGGCCCACGTAATTCGAGACTTCGCTGATCAAGTTTTTGAAAAAATTTTAGAGTACAATCGAAAGGAGTATGTCACTAGATGCAGTTTTTGGCGCTGATTACAAATCTCACATTATTTGTTTAAAAAAGTTAAATTTTGGCACCAAAAATCCAGTTTTACGTTTTTTGAAAACTGTATTTTCAATTTTCTCACCTAGACACTTTTCCTAATAAAAATGGTAGATAGATAAAATGGATCGATAGAGAATTCGATTCTCTACAAGATGGTGTGTTTCTTTTGAAGTTTAGACTCAAAACAAGCTTTTTAATAAAGTTTTAAGATTTTCACACAATTCTAAGAAAGTGAAAACATTTTTTCAGCTTTATTTTCATGTTAGTCTATATTAGATGCCTAAAACTACATACGATGTAAAAATGAAATCCTTTGAGCAATGCTTAGTGCTCCAAACTTTGTTGGGAAAAACGTGTGTCACAGCGCCACAACTATAAAACACAATTATTGAGCGATGGAAGTTCATTGGAAAGTTTCTTTTTTACCAATCAGTAGCTCGTTTACTCTAGAAAATTTTGCTCTAGGCTCTTTTATTAGCTCTTTTAAATTCGCACCAAATTAGCTTTTAATGAGAAGAACTTCGACTTTAGGACTTTTTTTGTCACACCGTCGCGCGCCTAAAAACGGTTCTAAAAATCCGAGTCTTTAACCACATGGCTTCATTTTTATAATAAAAGTAGAGTATAGCGAGCTGCGTCGAATGGCGCAAGAACGAAGTTTGTAGCTCTTACACTTTTCGAGAAAAGCTCAAATTACTGTGTCAAAAATGTCACAGCGTCACGCTTGGACAAGCCGTATACTCTACCTTCTAACACTATAGGCAGCAGAAGAATTACAAGATAATCGCAGCTTCAAAGAAAAGAATTTATAAAACGAAAAAGTTCACAAAACAGGGATATTTCGCAGAAACATGCGCTGGAAGACGTCTTCCCCTCCTCCCTGTCCTAAGTGCCAGTTTTACTCACTGATCTACCCGGCTATGCTCTTTATTGAATAATCCTGAGTGTGAGATAGATTTGTCGAAAAGCCCAAGACTTACTCTGCCAACGACTGAAACTGCATATGTTTTAATGAATTTTGAAGCTTCGATAAAACCGTCAACTAAAGAGCATGAAAACACTTTCACGGTTTTCCCCTTCACGCTTTTATTTTCATTGTTTTCCTTTGACAAACTATCAATTCATGATTTTATTTCTACAGTTTTGACCTTTACGCTATTTTTTCATGGCTTTAATTATACAGTTCTTAAACTGACAGTTTTATTTTAGGGTTTTTCTTCGATGGTTCGAAAGTGGACGGTTTTCTTCCTATGGTGTTAATGTTTACGGTTTTACTTCCATCGTTTTTCTTGTATACTTTTGCATTTTACGGTTTTCATAATGTAGTTTTATACTTCATGGTACTTCTACATGGTTTTCTTTCGATAGTTATGGATTCTAGGGTTTTTCTTACGGTTTTTTTTCACCGTGTGTGTCTCTGATTTATCAATAGATCCCCATAACCAAGAGTCTTAGGAAGCTCTAACACATGTCATTTTGTTAAGCACGCTTTCCGCTACAAACTGAGACAATCGTGAGTTTCCGGCGTTCTTCTGCTCAAAAGGTATGAGGACAAGAAAATAACGTTTATAGCAACACGTATTCTTTAACCAACAGCATTCTCATCCGGGATGCAAAATGCTTCCTCAAAATCTGTATTTTGGTTTACTTCTTTTATTCGTTCATTTATATTCAAAACTTTAGCGAAGGTAATAAATTTGAAAAATTTTAGCATTTCACAGTTGTTTGTTGCATTTGCTATTTTGCATTACCTTTGGAAGAAGCAGACTTGCAAATCTGGCTTTTTAGTGGAGGACACTGGGATACACAAGTCTGTACAAAAAATACGTTCAAAGTACAACTTCAGTTACAGCGAGCATCCGGCGGACATCAGACAAAATCGTAAAGTGACAGATTCAATGGCACTGAACTATACTTCGATATGTGGTTTACTCATTATCATAAAAAGTTGGGTTTTCTCATGAACGTACAAAACTAATTTTCCAATATAATAATTTTTTCGGTTCAGAGTATTTGAAAACTCTCCAAGACGATACTTGTGATATATTACAAATTTGAGTTCTAATTTTGATATGACTTTAATATAATATAGGCCTCCGATTTGTGTCAAAAATTATTGTAATCAGAATCTGATGAAATATAGCTAGCGCAGTTCTCAAAGTTTGAGCCGCCTTTTCAGTATAGATTAGAAATGCTCAAAACTGTCTGTAAATGTATTGCTTGCGTCGATCCTGATAACAAACTCTTTCATTTTTGTAGCTATAAATTGCAAAAATGAGAGTTCTCGATATTCATTTTGTTTTTTGCGCTTCCTCCTATGAATGATGACGCAGAGTAGAGCACCTTTTCCGTGATTGACATAAATACAAGAATTCATATCTCATCAAATTACGTTAACAGTTCAGTTTAAGATAAAAGCTAGTTTAGTGTTTTTTTCTTACCTTTTGCGATTTGTAAGAACTTAGAAGTGTGATTAAGCAATTCTGTTTTAAATATACTTGGAGCATTGTTCATGTTGACATAGTGACATCATCCAGATATGACATGACTCTCTTGCATTATTTTCTTGCTAGAGAACGATAGAAATACGTGTGTTTATTCGATGACTCACTCAGTGTCAACATAAAAGGCGCTACCATTATCGTGTTAAAAGCTGTCTGTTAAGATTATGTTCTATCCCAGTATAATAATGATTAGTCATACACTTATTGAATCATTGTTAGCATCATTTGACATTTAACCAGTATTCCGGGTATCATTGCCTGATTAAGCACAAACTTGACAAGATCCAACCGGTAAGAATTATCTCCAGATTTCCGCGCATGATTCATTTGACTACCGTTTGGCAGGTAAATCATATGCATTTATTCCTATTCTCTGGACGTAATCATTCGAGATGGTCAATAAACGAGATAACAATCAAGATAGTCGATTTAAAGATCTCTCGATGTTGACTTGTACTAAGATGACTTTTATTTGTTACTCTCAAGCCACACAACCCTGATGAATTAAACTCAATACATTGTGCAGTGAGAAAAATGGCTTGCACAGCAATAAAAGAAAAATTGAAGAAGAAAAGCACGAATGAACAAAATGAGTATATGTATCAGTTTCTAGGAGGCAACAAGAGAGCAAATCGGAGATTGAGTTCAGCGAAGAGAACACCCAAAATGTATGTTCAACTTGTATATCACAGTTAGTTATAGATATACAGTTTCGCTTAACTCGTGTTTCGAAGAGAACACTTTGGACTAACAATCGGTGATAAATATCAATTTTGTGCTATTGGAACTTTCGGAGGCACAACCGAGTTTTCAAAACAACTCCTGGAAAACCAATCTTAAGCCACGTTCTTCGAAGGCATCCAGAAAGACCATAACATGATAAAAAATTTGTTTATTTACTTATAGCCTGTTCGATTCTCCATATATAACCTTTATCCGATTTACGGTTCCAGAGTAAATTTTGAATAAGGGCATCATCAAAATTTTGAAAAAATGCTCGTACAGTAATATTGAGCTTTTTGTGGAATTTTTATCTGATTATTTTGTGTAACATTCGAAAGAGGAGAAAAGCTGAACAAGATGGTCGATTTTGTTTTCGGAAAAGTTTAGTAATTGATATGCAAAAAAATGAAATGGGCTTCTGAAAAATCACATTCGCCAAGTCGCCAAAGTCACATGCGCCGAAGGTCGATGTAATAGTAATAGGTTTCCTGTGAATTAACCCTTCCAATTATATGTCACATTGGTGAGCTTCATGCATAATAATTAGGACTAGGAAAATCTAAAACTTTCAAAAACTTGCTAAAGGAAAATCACTGAAAATAGGAACCCCCGCTCTTTTTTGGAAGAATTTCGGATACTGAGCTGAGCATAGCCTAATGTAGAGGAAAGTGTGGGCTACAAAATGAAATCACTTCCAGCACTTCACGAACATTCTTAAAAAGGTTTTGCAGTTTGAAGTTTTTCCTTCAAAGCCTAAAAAACTCAATTTTTTAGGTTCATAAACTTTTCTCTCCTTTTCTTTATATTCAAAAAATTTCATGAACGGCAATAACTAAATACATGAAACAAAAGCGGAAAAATACTCCATTGAGTTTCCAATCAGTTGTGAGAATATGAAGTCTAAGTAAGCTTTAGTTTTTACTTCACATCATTTCTACGGAAAGCCTAAAAAGAGTGTGGGTACCGTTAAGAGGGGTACCCCCACACATACCCTCAGATTTGGTCAGTTTGTAGAGAACACCTCCAAGGATCTGCGGTTGCAATAACTCGCGGGTTGGATAAGCTTTCGTGGAGTTATGAAACTTTCAAAATTACCAAAAGTCGATTTTCTCAGCTATTTTGCACCTAGTGCAAAAAGTGTTTCTTGCGCAATACGCCTCCTCAATGAAACATTCCGAAAGCATTCTGTACATGAAAAATTGTTCATTATACTTGCCTCTATAAGGTATTGTGGTTTTAGATTGGTGTCATTCATAGGCCCAACAAGAGCCCTGAACCTAAAATTTACCATACTCAGAAAACTATACTTTTCAGTAAAACTTTAATTATGAACCCATTATTTTTTCAATGAAAGCTTGTATATAGAAGTTAATTCATGTCAAGAATATACTGACTGAGAGATGCAAAGGAACAATGTATGACATATTATATATATATATTATCTGTCCAATTGAACAGTGACCGTGGTCATTTTTTGATAAATTTTTAACGGAATTAGATGAAGACCTGCGGGTTTCAGTATGTTGCTGCCAGGACCTGACAGCATCGTCCTATGTATAAATCAGTTTTACCTATGAGGTCTACCACGGTGTACCTGATCAATGTTCCAAACGTAAGATTACCACTTTCTAATTTTTCATACAAGTCTAATGGCAAAACCCGACAGCTCTGTCTACGATCGTTCGGGCAGAGCGAACGTTTCCTGAGACACCTCGGAACCCAATTTTCTTGATATTTAGAAATTTGAAAAAGCATGAAAGCATAGATTATCGACCACACTGAATCTTGTGGAAACGTTTGTTTTTCGAAAAAGAAGAGATACGAGCATTTCTGAAAATTTTAGTGATGCTCTTATTCAAAAATTATTTATTCTGGAATCGTGAGTCGGATAAAGGTATATTATTTTATATATTCTTGATATTTTCGTTCACTCTTCTTCGCCTTTTGAAGTATTAACTAGGGAGAAGTTGAGTTTTGTTAGAATGAAGAAAGAAATGGATAAAGAAAGGAGATATTTATTGTATGCGCGGATAAAGTACTTTAAAGGCATGCCGCAAGGTGAGATGTGCGAGAAAGCCTTCACTCTTTTCTAGTAGAGATATAGTAAAAGTTGTACCTACAAAAAAATCGCCAATCGTAGGAGAACAAGAGAATATTATGCACTGAATTAGGCAGCCACCAATATCGGGATACCTAATGCAAAAAATACCGACTCTTTTTGTTGCTCTTTTGGTTTATCTTTCATTTGAAAGGAGATATTTTGGCACTCTGGAGAGCCAGAGCACAAAATACATTAGCATTTACTTTCGGTTTTTCAACAATGTGACACTCATTTAAAGTGGAATTCTTATGTATTTATCGAGAATCATAAATCTTATAAATGCATATGCATAACGTTTTACTGTTACGTAAGAATATGTGGTCTGAATAAGTTCTTCTGTCGAATCGTGCGCCAATTCAGGGACGTAGCCGTTGAGGAGGACCCAGACCCCGAGACCCTCTCAGAAAATTTCTGGATACGTGCTTGCGCTAACTAGATACAAATATGGATAGTGACTTCACCGTAGGATGTTTTCACTTATTATATATACGACCATCTTTAAGCACCGAGTCTTTTCTCTCAATATCTACAAGACTAGAAGATTACAGAAAAAATTAGACGCATCAGTGCATAACAGAACAACACAGACCGTACAAATGATGAGCTAGCGTCTATCAATTTCTACGAATAGCTAATTATGAATGCTGTCGTGGTGAAATCCGCATCCACATACCATACTTGGGTCTAGAAGCAGAAATTGTTCGAAAAAGAGAAGACAAAAAGAACAGCATCTAAGCATTGCAGTTCGTCTGCAAAGATCAAGTTCGTGTGTTCGATCCTAGCTTCGTGCAAGGATTGATTTTGTGTTTTGATAGTTTAAGTTTCAGAATGATATAATGGGAATTTATATTCTCGATTTCGTTCTGGTTCAAGATTAAAGCTTAAACCAACAGCATCTAACCTCATAGTGATGACAACATCTGGAACGTACTTTTGACCGGGCTCAAGTTCGAAACGAAATCGTCGAATAATCAATGCTAACATGATTTTCGCCTCCAACATAGCAAAATTCTGTCCGATGCATGAACGAGGACCTGTTGAAAATGGGAAAAGTAGTTTATCTGATTTATTGCCATCGAATCTTGATGGGTCAAACTTGAATGGTTCACGCCAATACTTTTTCGAGCTATTTTATACAGAGAAAGTGGGAAGAATGAATGTAGTAGAAAACTTCTTACTGATGAAGCATGTGGATATTGAGCTGAACATCTGTTCCTTTCTTGATATGAATCTCTTTTCCGTCACTGGCAATCAGCTTGTTATCTTTAACCGCCGTTCGGACTACTACAGGAATTGGCTGAGAAAGCCGTAAGGATTCTTTCAATACTGATTCAGTGTACGTCAAAAGAGAGAGAGTCGATGCTGTTATCTCTTCACCGTCGCTCAGCACCGAATCCACTTCTGCTTCCAATTGACGGCATACGTCCGAATTATTCGCCAGATTATACAACGTCCAGGTCATCAAAGTCGATGTCGTCTCGTGTCCAGCAACAACTAAACAATAAATTGTATTGCTTGAATTAATGTTAGTGGTAAACAACAAAATTTATGGTCATCACTACAAGTCTCGGGAGCTTCAAAAGTTTCTAAGCCTTGAAAACTTTCACTGTTGCAAAGTGTCGAAAATACTCACCAAAGGTGAATGCCTGTTGGTGAACTTCGTCGTCGGTGAATTTGTTCCTTTCGTCTTCACCGCGTGCTGCTAAGAGCAGATCAAGCAAATCGGGTCCTGTCAATGAGCACAGAAGGCAATCAAAAATAAGACGAAATACGGTATTCTAACCTTTGCAAGCTGACTTAGTCAATCCTTTCTTCCGCTCGTCGACGATTCGCCGAATAATTTCCTTAGTTTCACGGTTACATTTATCAATATGTGGTTTGCCTGCGAACGGTAGGCGATTAATAATCGGAATGATACCAATCATATTAAATGTACGCTTTTCCACTAACTCCAATGTTTCTGTCGCACCTCGATAGATAGTTTCGTGTATCGTTTCATCGGATATGATCTCTGTACCGAATACACAACTTGTAACACTGACATTGTCTAATGTCAGTCGTGCCATCTCCTCACGAATATTGAGAGTGAACGGTTCGTCTTTATGACAAGCAGCTGCGGCGACTGCCCATTTTGTTATAAGATTCGAGGTGATTTCAGCCATTAGCGATATCATAGAGTTCACATTTTGATGTTGAAAGACTGGTGCTATCAGTCGTCGATGTCGAGCATGGACCTCATCTTCGGACATTAAAAGACTGTCGTTACCTAACAACACCCCAAGAATCATTTGCATGATATACGGTTTGTGATAAGCGTGAGCATTGGTCTTAAGAACACCGTTCATTAAGGCTGGATCAAAGGTCTCAAAGCGAGCAATAGGACCGAACGAAATGTGGTAGTAGTCGCCAGATCGTGTTGCTAAAGCCCTGCCATGTGAAAATGGATCTTCGGCAAGAATACGTTTACGAATGTGAAGTATTTCGCCTACTACTGGAATGTAGCGTCCTGGAACTCCTTGAGACCATAGATCTCGATGAATGCGCCATGGATCAAGTATCCAAAATTTGAGGAGACGATAAACAATCCATGATATCAAAGCAAGTAGTAGGAGAACAAGCAACATGTTCGCTGAAAGAATAGTTAAGTGCGCTCCTTGCTGTTACCTCTAGTAAGAAAGAACAAAAATAACATGTACCACTGTCTCTGATTGTTGAAGGAAAGAAAAAAAGAATGACGTGTGCTCAAAGAATGGCCAAGTTTCACCTTTTGATTCTTCCATTTTGTAATGATAACGTGTTGCATGTTTCAACACACAATGCAACTTAACTGTTTAGAATGTCCAACTTTCAAAAATCATTTTTTGCACTACAATTTCTCGTTCTTGAACCTGAGTTTTTCAAAGTCACGCTATGCCGGTCAATATTCAACATGAATCCAACGCTAGAATGTTTGAGGCTTTATTACGCTTTAAATAATTTATAAAGAAATATTGATTATGCTAAATATCTTCAAGAAGTGCTCCTAACAAAAACTCTTTTTCTAACGACAATCAATCTGGTTTTCGAAGGAACTCGTCTTTTAAAGCGTATGTTCAAGTATTTTAATTCGCTACTAGTTAGTAATTGCTAGTAATAAAAGAAGAGAATTCATTTGTAGTGCATTCCGAGGACAAACTTAATCTAGAATCGATTTAATTTTAGATATGTAATATTGAATTAATAGTCCAAATTCATCGACTGCTTCATTAACATTTTGACATTGTCGTCATGACGTTTTGGTTATAATGGAATGGAATGGAAAATTTTTATAAAAAACCATTCGAATAATTCAAAAGCAATTGACTATATCGACCGATCGTCACAATACTTACATTAGTGAAATATGCAGTTTGTGGAATAACTCTTTAGCTTCCATTTGGTAATGTGTCGGTAATTCAAAAACGTAGCAGAGGTGTTTTTGCTTTTTTTGACACGGTTGGATAGAGCTCATCAAGTTACCTAAAAAGGCCACGTCTCAACATATAGGTGTTCTTTTCTTGAAGTGTTGCCAACCTGGGACTAGTGGGCTTTTATAGCCCATGGTGACTGAGTGGATCGGCACTACTTTGGCTCCGACGTATGGCCGACACTCCAGCAAAAAAATTAAAATAAAATTTGCAGCGAAATAATGCAGAAGAATAATAAAAATCGAGTGCTGATGAGTTTCGAACCTCGGCACTCGCTTATCGTTGGTACGTAATCACTTTATTATTGTTGCGTGCGTATCAAGAATATTTCGATTGTAGAACGAGACAATAATCGTTATCGGTTGTTGAGTAAGAAACTCTTGCTATCAGATTAAAAAATCCTATCCTTAATGGTGCCGATATAGACCTTGTGAGTCGAGAATCTTGTGAGTCTTATGGTAGTTCTTTTATAAAATTTGGATCAAAACCGACCGAGTTATGAAAAATAAATTGAACTACAGTTATATATATATATATATATATATATATATATACACGTGCATATGCGAGAAGGGGTATCTCTTATTTGCTAGTTCTCTGATATAAGGAAAAAAAGAAAAAGAAAAGATGAAAAAGATGATATCCTTGCTACAAACTCACTTTCTCTATTTTAATTTTGCTCAGCAAGCGTCGAAAACGTATCGGTTTTATCGGTAAGAAGCATAATTACGATAACGACAATCGGTAAGAAGCGATAATCGATAATCGGTAAGATACGATAAAACCGATAAATTATCATTACCGTTGCATGCCTGTTTTATATTGTGACATAACTACTTGTTATTAATACAAAGCAAAATGATTCTAAATCACATTATTCACAATCACTTTTCTATGTCTGTCTCTTGTGTTATTGAAGAGATGAAACCGAAACTCACTTCTGCTTATTTTTTCCCCTACTCATAATATAACAAAACAGTTCAACTACAGAAACAAAACTAAACCCAAGAGTAACAATGATTGTGTAATAGATGCCCTAAAGTACATAACAACTGAAATAAGAGGAGTCATCGACGCACTTATGTGTTCTTTCTTCGGTTATCTGACCGTTTTTCACATGAGTACATTAAACGAGCGGCTGAAACTCAGCGCTTGGTGGAAAACGCAGAAAAGGAAAACATCGAATAGGAAAACGTCGAAAAACAGTCAGAAAAATGTCGAACTGGAAAATAGCGAAATTCAGGTTGACGAATGGGAAAAACAGAAAAAAGGAAAATGTAGAAAGGAAAATGTCAAAATAATAGTATAGAAAATTTTTTTATTGCATATCAAAAGAACGATATTCTTTTTTTAACGATATTCATTTTTCAAAAACGTGAAGTTCTTGTGTAGAAACACCAATTTCTACAGGAAAGAACATGAAGTTCTTGTACAGAAACACCGTTATAGACTATAGACGACGAAGAGGACGAATTTAAATTATTCTCGTAAGAGCGAATAGCAGTTCAAAAAGTAGAATTACGTAATCTGCAGATGTCTTCTCCATTCTACGTTCTTCTTTTCGCGATTTTTCTTTCTGCTTTTTTGCTCTCATATATTTTCCTGGCATGATACACGATAGTTCCTACGAAGAACAAGAAAGCGATATTGTTGCTGTTGTAATGTTGGACATGATAGATTTTTCGATTCATCGTGATCGGCTATAATCAGACGATCAATAGTCCCATCTCGTCCACGATATTTTGAGAAGCAGCTTATAGGCTGCGTAATCAAAAGTAGGCTCGTAATCAAGATAATATATACCGTCCGATATCGCCTGCTGTCCTCGGCATTTTAAATTTGTATTTTTAATAAAATCTAAATAACCGGGTTCTCTGATACTCCAATTACGCTGTTTACGAAACAGCATTTGCAGGTATGAAGTTAAAATGGCTCCTTGCGATGAATAATAGAGATGTGTTGTTTTGCACCCAGTATTGATCAGTGCTTGACATGTAGTAGGTGAATTATAATTACAATCAGCGTCAAGAGCATGTGTTAATACATATTCAACATAATATACATATGAATCTAACATTGAACTGTCGTAGCTTGAACAACCGAATTGCTTGTAGCTTAGTGAATGTCTAATACAATAACCGCCGTTAATTGACCACCATTTTTCTCCGTACCTATTGTCTAATTCATACATGTAGTTAATATCACGAAAACTTTGATGTTCCCGGAAGATGCTTGCTGCCATAAGTTTCAAAAACACTTTTAAATATGATTTTTGGATTGTCCATTCAATTCCAAGCAAATTCCATTGGTCTAGAGCAATTTTAAGCACAACTTATAGAGAATAAAATTCTCTGTAAAATGCACTATAGTACATTGAAATATAACCTTCGCAACAGGTCGGAAAATGGTGGACAATGAGTACCATTAGCATTAGTATAATCATGAAAATCGTTCTGAAGATATTTTCAGTGCTATAAAGTCATGTTTCATCACAAATACATAAACGGATGTCAAGAAAGGTGTTTATGAATAGGTGGGATGTTAGCAGTCGGCTGAGGAAAACAAGTAGTAAATAATTGTAGTATATGTTATTAATCATGGAATTTTTGTGCGTTTATTTTTGATTTTTGGATGCTGATAATGAACGTTTTTTTTTATCGAGGTGTGGTGTTGAACGGAAGGGTTTTAGCGGCTAAGGACGTTGTGGATTACAAACCTGTTTCGTGTGATTTCTTAAATGTAGTTTTTTAAACACTTCTTCGACGGCTTGATCATCCTTGAATTCTTCTTCGTCACATTCGACGACTTTTTGCAGGTGCTTTTGACGTTGGGATTTGATACAAGAGAAAAACAATCTAATCCGTCCTGGTTTCAGGAATTCATCAACACCCAATAGAAGATCAGGTATGATACGGATCTACGAAACCTCGTTAAGGTTCAGTAATCGACGAGATTTCGTATGATACCCTTCAAATTTTTCTATCATATTCTTCAAGGCGCACTCGAACAGGTTTCATAATACACCTCTTGAAGGTATAGTAGTCTAAAACGTTTCGTACTATACCTCTCTGTGCTACTCTCATATAAGAGGAGCTTGTTTTTTCCATTTATTAGCGCAGTATTCACAGCAAGATAATGCTCGCTTGCACTCGCTCTATCACTTGGCTTTAGTAACTTATATCTGCAGGTCGTATGCGAACCACCTTCCATGACTTTTGAATCAAAGATGACGCTCACGTTTCCCTTCGGTCGCCGTGGCTACGAGACTATCTGAAATATGTTGTGAATATTACTCTGGTTTCATGTGATAAGGTTCGTAATCTAATGTAAATCTAAACAGTTTTCTCAAGATCCTCCAAAGATTCTAAATATTTCTGAGTTTAAGAAAATGCTCACTCCTCCCTTTGGTCGGCGTTCACAGCCTGGATAGCTGAGAAATATTGTGACCTTTCTGGTTCCACGGAAAAAGCGCCCAATATAAAGCTAAAAGGGTTTCTGGACACCCTCTGACGATCCCAAGGGGGCTGGAAGTATTTCTAACCAATTGGCTATAATAGAATACCTATATTTTGCAAGTTTTATTACTCGTAGATAATGTTTTTGTGTTATCAAAATAGAATGATCTTTTTTTGCCCTCTCTCTTTTTTGTGCCTTTGGTAAGACGATATATCTTTACAGTA